TCTTCCTTGCTTCCTTCCTGCCTTCCGCCCTCCGAGGAGTTTGAGAACGCTTGGGTGCACGGAGCAGATGAGACCAGCTTTGCAGAGCAGGGCATCCAAACCGTGCCGCCATGCCTGATGAACTGGGCAGCTCGGCGGCACATAGTCCGCTCTTTAGCTGCTGCAATGCAAGTGCGGGTGAGTCGAGTCGCGTCGAGTCCAGGATCTTAAGAGACCGCCAAAGCTGCAGCCTGGTGCCGCCTGGACTGCATCCTACCACTACCGCCACCCGCCACCCCCACCCCACCACGAGCAACACCGACGACGACGACGACGACGGCGACGGGAGAGGATCCGAATGTTTTTTCAAGCGGGGCATTGAAGTCCTCGGTTGGCCAGCTACTTTCAGTTGCTCAGCTGACTGGCGTGTAGCCAGCTGCTTCGACGGGCCGAGGCCAACATCACCAAGCTTACAGATGTCAGTGAGCGCAAATGGACTGCCTGGCAAACGCTAGGCCTCGAGATGTATTCTCGTGTCTCTCGGACAGATGGCCTCATTCTTGACGTTCTCACAACCGGACGTACCATAAAGCATGACAGACCAACTCGCTGCTATCCAGCGACTAAGGACCGGGTAGCCATCGTGATTATGTCCGGCGGGAAAGACTCTCGCATCGGCGGGCAGATTCCGAAGGGTGCTTTGGATGTGGGGCTCTTGTCTCACAAGTCAATCTTCCAGCTTTACATCGAGAGAATCAGAAGGCTGCAGCACCTGGTCCAGCGGAAATTCAAAAAAGCCGTTTACATTCCTGTGTACATAATGTGCAACCGTGATAACAAAGAGATCATCGAAGACTTCTTCCGTGAGAACGAGTTCTTTGGTATCAGAGAGCAGGATGTCTTGTTTTTCACGCAGGGCGACTATCCAATCTGCGACAAACGCGGGAAATACCTGCTCGAAGAGAAGCACAAGATTGCGGTTAATCCGAATGGCAACGGCGGCATTTTTAAAGCCTTGGTGGAGGAGGGCATGGTCTCCGACATGAAGAGCAGGGGTGTAACTAGCATTTATGCTCCTCGGACTGCAGAGCGTGTGTTTCCAACTTGTAGGCAGGTTGGCCAAGCCGGCCCATTGATTGATCCCACAGGTATGCAGCATCGACAACGTCCTGGCGAAGGTCGGAGATCCTGTTTTCATCGGCTTCTGCGATACCTGCAAGGTGCCGGCCCTCCTAAGAGTTGTAGATGTGACGGGGCATGGGAACCGGAGCTTGAGAGGCCGATGCAGGCCTCAAGACCATGGAGAAGGTGCTTCCAGAGGTGCCCTGACCCATGCCGACCAGTCCATGTGTCAATTAGGCCGAATGACCCTGTGCAGGAGCAGTATGGCATCTTCTGTTCTCAGCTCTACCGGGACATCTTCGAAGACGTGGATGGGGACGGCAAGCTCGACTCTGTCTCCAAGGTGAAGGCCTCTGTCTTGGAGTTCTTCGAGATCCCCGAGGCCCGTCACGAACCAGCGACTTCCTGGAAGCTCCTTAATATATTTCTCTACCCAATCAGGACTTAAAGAAGCGGCGCAAGCAGGCTGCTTGGAAAGGAATAGCTACGTCAGCTGCGTCAGCCAGCCTGTAAGGGTTTCAGAACATGAAGAACTTTGACGGCACAGCCTCTTCAAAGAGTGAATGTGGCCCATGGGAGACAGTGCAGACGTCACCAAGGCAGGATCTGGTGGAATGCCACTGGAACTAAGTGCCGGCAACTTGTCCCAGTACTTCTTCAAGATTGATTTTGTCAAGAAGGCAGGTGTCCCAAATCCCAGTCGAAGGTCACAGGTGTGCCAGCTGGCCAGGGAGTGCCTCCCACCCTGCATTTGGGAGGTGGCGCAGCTGCACTGGAAGAAGTGGCACCTCATCCCAAAGGCCCTCTGCAGAGAGAAGTCTCATGATTGCTTTGAGGGAGCGTCTTTGCGAGGCCATCCCCTACATGGACTTGAAGCTTGGACACAAGGTGGAGCCTCCAAAGCAGGACCGGAACGCCAGGAGGATGGAGATGTTCATCTTCGATGCATTCCAGCTCTGCAAAAGTGTGGTGGGTCTGCAGGCAGGAGGGATGGGGTGTTGGGTCAGCTGAATCCGTCTACTGTCCAGACCACGGCGGTGTCCAGGTTCCACGGACAGAATATGCACTGGTCAAGAACGTCTCGGGGCCCAGCTCACCGCAGACGGCAGTGCAGGCACAACAGTTCTTGCTCAAAATTCCCTAAGTATCTTGATGCTTCCACAGGCAGTGGGGCAGCTCCACCAGCAGTGGATCATTCGTGCAGGAGGAGAGTTTGTGGATAAAAAGGTGGCCGGTGAAACGGAGGACCTGAAATGTGAAATCTCGCCGCTGGTCTCTTACGACGGTGAGGACTTGGAGGGTCATTTCCTGAAGCCCTTGGCACTCCCATTTTATTTGCCATCACAGATGGAGTTCACAGACTTCTCGGCAGCAACTGCACCGCTGGCGAGAAGGCCTTCCACCCACTACTTGGATTGGCAGTCAGACATAATCCGTCACGAGCTGGAAGTGGAACTGCATGCGCAGCTGGGAAATGTGTTGGAGATGATGGAAGATCCCAAAAGGTACGAATACCATGGGGAGCGAGCAGCTAACGAAGAGGAAACGCTGCCACCCACGCCTCGCGACACAGGGCCAAAGAGGCCTGGAGCTGCAGGGGGAGAGGTCGCGCAAGGATCTGGAAGTGCGCGAAAAGGTTCGAAGCAGGCCGAGACAAATGATCCTTCAGAGCCACTTACCGCCCTTGAGGGGCCACCGACGGACACGTACACGGATCCTAAGAAAACAATCAACAGCGAGAAGCGTCAGAAGTACTGGGGCCGAGACGCTTCCCCCACGAGCGCGCGCGGTGCGCCCTCCGCGCGTTCCGCCCGCGGGGCTCCACAATCGGCGCGGGGCGGACCAACCTCGGCACGTGGGTCGCCCGGCGAGGCCTCCCCACGCGAGCGAGGCAGCGCACGTGGCAGTGCACGTGGCAGTGCACGTGGCAGCGGCAGCGGATCTCCTGGCGAATGATTTGTCATCATCTGCCAGTGTGCACAGTGTAGCTCTTGACGTGATTCATCGGGATGAGCTAAGACGGCCTGTCCTGGTGTTACCCCGAAGGGGCCAATGTCTGAATGGAGCGAAACACAGCGGCCCCTGTCGAGTTTTACACCCTCCATCCGACATGCCATCTCTCGTGTGCATTCATGCATGCAAGCGTTCTGTCCCTTCATTTCGACACGTCGTGTCTAGTTAAGTTAGTCCAGTTCCGTGATGCCCCCCCCGTCCAGAGGAAATTTGCCTGCACATGCCGGGACAGTATACTATAGGTTGCTAGATCCAAGCACGGAATTCCGAAGATTTGACATCGTTCTACTTGTCCTGGACATGGACTGACATCAGCATGAGAGCGTATGCGCCAAGGCTTTGGCTTTGCGCACTTCAGCGGTTATGGTGACTTTCTGCTTCTGCCCCAGTCTTCCGAGTTGCGAGACGGAGCCGTCTTGGGCAACACCGCAGTTTGGGCGATTTTGGTCTTTGACAGGACATACTTCAGGAATGGCATTTGTGAAAACCTGAAACACCGCAAGTTTGGAGTTCGGGGCCCGGTTGGAGCAGATTTCTTTTTTATTCCAGGCGCGCGCGGGGCCAGCTCTCTGATGCGGAGGCCTCCGTTTTCTCCGTCACGGCCGCCTCTCAGTGCTAAAGTGCCTGAACGCCTACAAGCGCATAAGAAGGGACCGGTATTGAAGCAGCTAAACGCGCCTATGTAGCTGTTAGCGTTTTGTGGAGGCGGTTCGACAGCATAGCTTTTCCCGGCTACGTGAACAGCACTTCAGTCCAGCTTTTCTCAGGAGACACCACTGGCCACCCCCTCAGCGACACCCGGCCGCGGGGCCGGGGACCAAACTTTCATCTAAGGCGGAAAGGAAGGCCACGTTTTAGGTGGCATTTTCAGACAGAGCCAGAACGAGGCCATGGACAGCAGCGGTCGCTTCCACAAAGCGCCCAGAGTGCCCGACCAGCCTGTGCTTCTGCATTGGCACTGGGAATGAGCGTGGCTGTGCACTGTCTCATCCCAAAGCTCTTGTTTTGTCGGAGGGTTTCCAGGTACTAGTGGTCCGCGAAATTGTGCCGATCCCAGTGGTGAGCTTGTGTCAGGGTGTTCAGCAGTCTCGAGGTTTCCATCTTTCCGGGCTTGTCGAGGAACCGACCATAGACGTAAGTCCTGTGTCCCAGAGATGGAGTGATCGCTGTCCTCACTTACGTCAAGGTCAGAAGTCTGTCTCCATTTCAGAGGGCCCTACATTGTGAATTCACGTGTCTTCTGCACACAAAGTCCTACACAGATGCGGAAGATGCAGGAGCTTGCAGGGCCCACTTCAGGGTATTATTTTCTTGCGACTACAGCAGCGGGTCTTTGCAGGCACCCGCTGGCCTCCTTGCTGCATGGAACCGAGCACATCCCGGCAGTGAGGCGGCTGTCAGATGTGTGGTTGGGATGTAACTGCTGGTTCACGCTTCAGCCTGATGGGTTGGCGTTTGCGAAGAATCGAAGTTGACTGTGCGCTCCGGAGACGCCAGGTTGTTTCCTTCGACCGCGTGTATGCCGTCAACGGCAAGACTCGGGTTGAGGATGAGCCTGCCAGGGCATGCAGATTGCAAGTGTGAAGTTGAGTTTGCACAAGCCTCTTCATGTCGGCCTCCATTGCGAACGAATTTGATTGTGTGCATCGCTGGCGCTGACGTGCCATGCATAGCGAAGTAGAATAAAACATGTCCAGCGAGCGGGACGCGAGGACATGCAGCAAGAGCTCCGCAAAAGCGCGATGATCGTCCTGAAGTCTGTCCCTCAGCGCACTTGCATGTGTCTCGCAGCTGCGTAGTGTTGGTGTTCGAAGACTTATCGGCTCATCATTGTTTGCCTTCGTTAAGCTATTGGCCAGGATTGTTCGCTACCCGCAGATGTTCGCAGTGGAGCCTGGGCCCTTGTTCCGTTGTATCTGGAGCAGGCTCAACCCTACTCTATGATCATGCTGAAGACACACGTGTGTCGCGTGCACACGAGCTGGGAGAGCAGAATTTTACACGATATGGTCGGAAGCGTTGTGATTACATTATTATACAGGACTTGTGCTGAAATTCAGTTTCTAGATTGACCTTCGAATGACAGCTCTGTCCTGCAAGCAAGAAGTGCCATGGTCGGATGATTCACACCCCTCGCATACGATTCAGCAACGAGATGCCAGTGTGCTGAAGTTCAGGCTGCGGGGCGACACGCAAGGACCAGTGCCCATCGGAGTTCGCGTGGAGAGGCCCCGCTGAAAGCATGAGTAAAATGTCATATAGGCTGCCTTCCTTGCAGGGTTCACCCTGGCAAGCAAGCTACTTGACTTCTCAACCAGTGGCAGGCCACCGAGCGACTTCGCGCCGGAGCTGAAAGTCACTGAGGCCAGTCAGTTGTATTGTTGGCACATCTTGTCACGAAGTCTGAGTGATCTATTGAAGCTCCTGACGGAGAACCTGGCTGACATGTCCAGCCGTCCTACGTGTGAAGGTGGCTAGCGACGGTGCCCTAGAGCAGTTCAACCTGGCGCAGATCAGGCAGCCGCGGACGCTACGTTCCGTCTACATGGAGACCAGGTCCCAAAATGCGGAAAGTGCAGGATGGGCCGCTTTCACTTGGTCGTGCTGCCTGGGATGCCGCGGCGTCAGGGGATTTTCTGAGAGTCTCTGTGACGAGCGCATCACCCGGCCTGCGCTAGAGGCATTCTCTAATGAAGCAGTGTTGCGGCATGTTGCAGCATGCCGAGGTTTATCCGGAAAGCCAATCAGACACAAGGCTTCACTGTGCCTTTAGGAGCCTGTGCTAGAGGAGGAGGCTCTCAAATTCCTTGTAGGCAGTACGATTCTGAAACAGGGGATCCCGACAGTATGGAGAAGATTGTCGCCGGCACGACACCCGTCACGCTCGTGCCTTGGGAACGGGGGGCACAGCGGTGCTGCGACCAGTTGCGTTCTATGCTTTCGCACGGCGACGCCCAAGGCTTTTCATCCGACGTGGTGACCAGATGATCAGCAGGGATATCCCTCGCATGAGATCCGTGAGGCCTTCAGGGCTGGGGTCGTTGCTGTCTTCGCATGCAAGGCTTTGTTTCAACCAGCTTATGGCTTATGCAGGATCCGAGCCTGGGTTCGCGAAATTTCAACCAATCTCCGCTAGTTTACGTGGCACCGAGGGGCCGGCGACTGCCGCGCGAGCCGGAGTGGGCGGGAGATCGTACGAGAAAGAATGGAAAGCTGACATGGCGTGGCGTGCAGCAAGGGCCTCCTGGCTTGCTGCACCCTTAATATACAACAGATGCGTGCTGCGAGATGACTCGTGTGCAGATTGCCGGGTGCTAGAAAAGGTCCTTGTGACACTCTACAGATGATGGTCCACCGCCATATGGCCTGGGGTCGACACCCTTACAAGTCCTGAACTCTTGTACGTGCAGCTTGTCTTTTCTACATAAGCATGGTGTGCGCCTCGTCTGTCCGTGAATGATTGCCTTCTACCTACGTCCTCCGAAAGAAGGGGGATGGGGGTATAGGAGGTGGGGCGGGGCATTCAACAAGAGAGTGCACTGACACCTGCAAAATGCAAGGTGAAGAGGCAGGAAGCCAAAACACGATGTTCGCAGTAACATGAGCATGAAGCCATGTTCGTGTGTGTTTGTGTGTACGTGTGTGTGTGTGCTGTGGCCATGCCTGTCGCCGCGAGCTTGTGTATGTACCTTGCAGACAGTTTGTTGGTTGCCCAGAGGTAATGTGATCCAGAATGATCCGGATCGGCACGAGGACGTGTGACATGTTGTTGCAGGTGTAGCCAGAAAGCGATGCAGGAATCTTGCTGGGCCGGGTTTGTCCTGAAGAGATGTGTTGACTTGTGGTCGGGGTTGGGGTGCAGACTGTTCTGTTGAGTGCTGAAGAGACTTCTGAATGCTCCGTGGCATTTATGCATCTCGAAGATGGACTGGCTGCTGTCACGCTGCGAAAACTGCGAAAACAGGATTCCTCGCCGTGTCGATGTTTCAACACTGGTGTCGCCGAAGGCTCGGGGTGTTCCGCTCGAACCTGGAACTCTCATGTGACAAGAGGCATCGCGGCAAAGCGTTCTCGTGCCGAAAAACATAGACCCCTTCCGTGTAAGCTTCGATGTCTTGCGCTGCACTGTTGCGGAATTGTTTGCTGTTGCATTTTGGACGCCCCCTTTGCAAGGCGACTGTATCTGAAGACTCGAGTTTCACCTGAGGCCCTGAGCTGCTTTGAAGCTAGCCGCAGAAGGTATCAGGGCTCGTTGTTTTGCTTGCCGGGGCGATCCCTTGCAAGCCAGCATGTTCAGAAATTCGCGTCGCTGCAGCCCCTCTTTAGGTAAATGAACTGCAGTTATCCGCCAGGCACCGCTAGATCAGCTACGATGAGTTGCTCAAAGAATTTGTGGCGCAAAGCACAATGTGTTCACTACACTTTTCTGCAGTTTACAGTTAAGCAGCTATGATTCAATGATGCTGGCAGTGTTTGGCTCTCCTTCGCGCAAACAATCCTGAGGGAAGCCGTGTTTTTGTAGTAGAATCTGTGCCGTAGCGAAGGAGAGCAGAATTGACGACGGGAAGTGCGAAGCCGGAGAAGCTGTGATGCCGTCGTGACAAGAGCGAGGATTTTGCAGATCCTTAACCGACCTCAACCCCGGCCATCTCGGATGCTGATGTCAGGAGCATCACAGGAACAGGCCCGTCTTTGACAGCATGACTGTGTCAGTGAGTGTCGGTTGTTCACTTGCAGGCGTTGCGGCCTTGGAAGCTTTCGAAGTGTCACGGATCCATCGAGCCTTTACGATAAGAAGTGTCACGGACTTCAGCAGACTTCTCCTGACTTGGTGATCCAATCCGCGTGCCAAAGGCCGACAGTGCAGTGTGCTGGCATACTGTTTCCAGTCGCAAGTAGCAAGAGGTATGTGCGAGCCTGCAGTAGCTCGTGCGAGTCAATGAAGCAGCCATGGAGTTCTTTGCTACAGATGTGCGACGAGATGCCGCAAAGCTTCGCCGCGCGTACTTGCAGCTGGCCCTCCGTTACCACCCCGACAAGGCAGTTGCCTCAAGGAGCTAGCCTTTTTCGCGCGACGGCAGTGGCTGACCGATTGCAAGAGAGGAGCTTTCGGACAACTCTTTCGAAAGAAAACGAAAGGTGCTTGTCACCGAGCAGCGGAGTGAACGCTCCCTCATGCATGGCTGCTGCCAGGTCAATGCGAGCCGCTCGCCACAAGCAGCAGACGGTGAAGGCGCTTGAAAAAATGAGTCTCGCGGCTTGAACCGCACTGTCACAGCTGGAGGTTCTCTGGAGGACAGGGAAGCGACGGAGGTGTTCCAAGCAATCCAGGCCAGGACGGTTCTGATAGGGACGAAGGCGCTTTCGCAGGGCCGGCTGTTGTCAAGTGGTCCGCTGACCAACAGCGGAGCTTGTCTGCTGCACGGCGCCAAGGGTGAAGGAAACTCGTGCCAGCGCATGGGCACACTGGCATGAGCATCATGGGGGTGGCCGTGCAAGGGTGGAGGGAAGGCATGAGACACCGAGAGCTCAGCAGGCTGCCTACGAGGAGCTTTCTGCAAGCCTAGATGGGCGTCGAGGCGTCAGCTTGACATCCGGCGCAAAAGACACTGCAACATCGCAGCAAAGTCGCCCAGGCCCTGGCGGTCCTGGGCCGCGGGTGCGCAGCGCCTTCGCAGCGGCCTGCGAGCTGGGGGACCTTGCGGTGGGGGCCTCGGGGGCCCACTGTGCACTGCGCCACGCGCTGCGCCACGCACTGCGCCGCCATATGTGCGCCGGATGTCTTCGCCCCGCCCTTCGCTTTCAATGCTTTCAGCTTTCGCTAGTCGCAGGAAGTGCGGCGCCTCCTCCGTCTCAGACCGGCATTGGCAGAGCAGACGGACGAGCTCGGCGTGTCGCCCCTGATGTTTGCGGCCTCCGGTGCCTCGGCGAGAGAGGGCACGGGAGATCATGGGAGTGTGAGTGTTGCCTGTACTCGTTGCCCGAGCGCCACTCACGGAGCAGACGGCTTCGGTTCATGTCCGGCATGTGCAGGAGGTTCAGCGGCGGCTTGCGAGGTACTGCTGGAGGCGAAGGCGCAAAAAGTATTGCTGTGTTCGCTAAAGGCCCTGCAGAATCCTGCAGCGGCGCAGGGGTTCCTGCTGCAAGTTTCTTGCAACAAATGCAGAGCTCGGGAATGTTCTGAGTCTTGGTGTGACCAAGTGAGCCTCAGACCTGCAGGCTTCATTGGAGATGAGAAATCCGCTTGGGTGGACAGCTCTCACTTGGGCTGCGCTCCGAGCTCGCAAGGAGGCGTGTGCTTGTGCAACGTGGGTTCGCGGAGAGAAAGATCAGAAGAGATCGTGGAGGCCTCGGCCTTCCTGCTGCAGAAGGGCGCAGAGGTGCAAGACAACGACTTGATTGTCACCAGTCAGCAAACAAGAGCTGCAGAGTACTGCAGAGTGTTGAGATAGTTGAGGCGTGTTGAAGACATGATCCATGGTCATGCCGCCATGCCTCTTCCGAACAGCTCAAGAGGGAATTTCAACCACTCCGGAACTTTGCTTTCTCGCTGTGCTGACTCGAGGTGCTGGCTTTCACCGGCAACTCTGAAACTTTCTCGGTTCTGCTGCAGGCATGTCTGGTTGGTCTAGTACCTTGTCGGGCCTTGTCGGGGTCGTGCCGAACTTCCTTGAACACATGGGACGTTTAGCTCTGAAAGCTTGGAAGTCAAACCGCTTCTTAGTGCACAGGCCTGTGGTGACGAGAAAGTGTTGGCAGTGCGCGACGAGAAAGAGCTGCCAAGTCGCATGGGTGGAGCATTGCCGTGTTGTGTTGTCTGCTGCATCACGCCTGATTGCTCTTAGCCTGTCGTCTCGGTTTTGTATCCGCCTTGCATGATGTTTTGACCGTTTGACCGACACTGTTCTTTCTGCGTTCGATCCGTCCGGGAGTGCTTTCCCGGTCTATCCTGGCGATAAGGAAGGGGTTATTGCACTTCGCTCTCACAGGTGCCTTGCCTGAAGAAGAAGAGGTATACCTGCGCGCACAGCATTTAAAGCTTAAGGCAAAAGGCACACTGTGGCGTGCCATGGAAATTCCTTGGCATCCGCTGTCGCAGGCTTTGCCTACCTGAAGCGGCCTGCGGAATCCCACGAAGATTGTGTTGACCTGGCCATCCAAGCGCGGCCCCGGCTTACATCCTGCGGGTATTCTGGCGTTCTTTTTTGGACTCCTGCGTTGTTCCACCTCGTTGGCCGACTTAAACGTTGTGTGAGGGCAGCCCAGGTAGTCTCGCCGTCTATCCAACCTGATGCCAGCAGCACTTTTCTAACCTGTAGACCTGCAGTGCCACTCACGGCTTGCAATGTGGCCCGCTAGCATTGTCAGCAGCGTGGCTGTAGCATCACTGCATTGCTGCGGCCATTAATCGCGCAGGCTAGATTTGTACATGCGCATGATTACCCTTGCATTCTGGCCTCCTAATGTCTCCGTCTAACTCCGATAGGCCGATTCACAGGCTGCTACTCGTATCATGCCGGTGGCGAAAGCATCTCCTCTCACCAAGAAATTTCGTTGTGCAGCTGCTTGATGCAGTCCTTGAATCGAGAATCCAGCCGGAGGCTAGATGCGATCCGGCCGGTGAAGATCGCAGGGCCCGCCAATGTCGGGAAGGTGGGCCCCGCTTGAAGATCATTAGAAAAAAGAGCGAGACAGAGCGGGCCATCAAACTGACCCAGCCAAGGTGGAATGGAGGAAGCAGTGCCCGTGCTTTGCCACTTCGTGCAGTGCATGTCAGATGCTCCGATGCGGACAGAACTTGCAGGCATGCGATGTAGACGGTACACGAATGTTCATGAGTTCATGCTCTATGTTTCTGTTCCACCCAGCGAAATCTCTTGGGCAAGCGCAAAAACAACGTTGGGTCAACAAATAACTTCCCAAAGCAAATCGCAAAAGTGATTGTGCTGCCAAAACGTTAATCGCAAGAGACTGACAAGATCTGATCACGGTTGGTATGGGCCGTCTCTGCATCACTAAAGCAACAGTCAACCACACCTTTACTCACACGCGGGCTGGCGAAACAGGATTTTTCGCTTTGTCGCTCTGTCTGGAATCCAACTCTGGAACAGACATGCCACTTCGTTGGGCGATGCTGAGGAAGATTGGGCAACGTCTGATCTGGACCAGTCTGCCACACACCTTGCCATGGTCGCCAAGCTCCCCGGTGTGCAGATCCGCATCATTGTGGTTTCTGGAAGGGGCATGGTCCAGGATGTGTCCATGACTGTGCTACGCTCTGAGTCTGAAAGGCTGAAGCCTGTAGTGTGGGAGAGATTTTGCAGAACCAAACAGTGATTGTGTTTACAGAGCCTTTTTGGCCCATGTGAGAAACGAGCTCTAGCAGTGCCATCGAATCGAGATAGCATGGCCGTGGTTGGAACGCCGAAGGACGACAAGATCTACACGAACAGCTCCAAGCCAGAAGTTCACGAATCTGGCCGATTCAACGAGCCAAGCTCCAACCATTTCGCGGTTCGGAACACCTTCTTAGAGTTGAACGATTCTTACTCCCTTCAAGAGTGGTGTGGCTCTGTGCGTCGTGTGAAGTCTTCCCCAGACCTTTCGAATCCGGATGCTTTCAAAACTTGCTCCTTGGATCAGAAGCTGGGAGAACCGATGCCTGTCCCCACACCAGAGCTGAGCCCCGGTGCGAACTCACACACCTCACAGACTGCAACAGACTCGGATCGTGCCACAGACGAGTCGCAGCCAAACGCTTCTCGGACTCGTCTCTCCAGGAAGGCAACACCCTACCAGCCCCCAGCGGCCCCCGCTGCCCACAGCACGACATATTATGCAGTACCGAAAAGCCGCACTGGGCAGGAGCAGGTCGTGGCCATGCCCTCCATGCTCCCTCCAACCCCGGTATGGCACATGCCCATTCCACCAATTCCCACACCCACGGCCGCTGTGACAGCGCCGGTAATTCTGGGCTCTGCCATGCTCCCGAGCATTGGGTCAGGAGGCCATGCCACAGGGGAGTGCAAGCCGTGTGTGTTCTTCCACAAGAAAGGTTGCGCCACAGGCAGGACATGTCTCTTCTGTCACCTGTGCCAACCCGGAGAGAAGCAGCGGCGAAAGGAGCGGAAGGAGAAGAGCCTTTCCTGCAGCTTCATGCGAGGAGAGAGGAGAGAGAGGCGAGTAGGTTTCAACATGTCCTCTTCCAGATCATCCGAGGCGAGCCATGCAAGCACGCTGAGCCGGGACTTTGTCTAGCCGCAGCCAGGTGTTTCGACATGCTTGCGGATTACAACTGCTTTATTGCTTGTGTTTTAGCAGGGCCGCACCCTGACTCCCTATGCAGCTGCGCCCCTCTGGCTTCGTAAACACGAAGCAAAAGCAGCAGTCAGGATACTTCTTGCCACACACTCACACACTAATGGATCTGCATCCCAGAAAACATGTCTGCTGCTTCCAACTTCTTTGTAAGTGGTGAATTTCAATGAAACGCGGGTGACAACCGAAAGCTTGCTCGAACTAACTGGGTTTCAAAGGCAGCTTCTGTGAGCTGCCTTATGATCCTGTTTTTGCAAAACTCATGTTTGGTGCCAGAGGCTTGCTAGCGGGATCATCCGCGACCTTGACGGATCTTTTTCTGAGCATGGAAATTTTCCATTCGGAATTCATTCAACTATGTCGCCGTCAAACTACGTTCGCGTGCGAATGTTGAAATTTTCTTAGACTGAAGAAGTGGGGGACCCGCAGCTGGCAGCTGTAAACATCGCAGCCCCGCGCTGGGCTGCAAATTTTAAATCGCCGGCAGGAGGGTGCCGGAGATGCTAACGCATCTGGAGACTACCTCCGGATTGTGCTTGGAAGCCCGACCGGTGCCTTGGACAAGCTGAAGCAAGCAAGGGCAACATCGAGTGAGACTTTCTTATGGAGATTTTCGAACCTTTGCGGATGCCCCTTTAGGTATGATGTGAGTTTCTGAATCGCTGACAAACCGTCCCAATGTCGAACTGATGCACATCCGGAACCCCAGGCCCCAAAAGTGAAAGTAGAACTTGTCGGAAGAGGCCGCAGAGAAGCGCAGATGATCCAGATGACTGCAACTAGTGGTGTCTGCCTGCATACGCAGTGGTGTAAGGCAGAGATGCGAATGTGATCATAGCACAAAAGACAAGTTGTTGCTAGGTTTTGCTTGAGCTTGTGGGCAGAATGCGGATTCCACTCTGCCAGCCATGCAGAACACGGTCTCGAATGCCCTCTACGTTTGCTGTGGGCATCAAGAGTGGAAGAAGCATGTTGCAGGCGCAAGCTGACAGGCTTGCCATGCATCAGAATAGCAACAAAGAGGGTGCTGATGCACAGCGACATCATATGTCTCAAATCGCAAGGACGGCAGCCCACCAGAGCTGCTCTTTCATGGATTTTGTAGAGTTGCCAAGCTCCTGAGGACTTGGCTCCACTCGGCCTCCGGTCGCCGATCATTTTGCGGATGTTGGGTTGTGAAGTGTGGCAGACGGCATGCACATCACATCTCAGGTCCTCCACTTGACAAGCAGTGCCTCTGCGGAAGGGTGTGCGACTAGAGCGAAGGAGTCTTTGGGCAGGAACTCTGAGCCGCGGCACTGCTGGAGCTGAGAAACATTGATTAGTAACCGTGACGAAACAGCTTGTTGTTGTAACAGCGCGATTTCAACGAGGGCCGCGCCCAGCAATGCTGGAGCTTCCGCAGACAGCTGACCTATCAATGCTCTGAATAGGATACAAGTGCGAGACACGAACATGATTGTGCAAGACATGCCGGTCACGGGAAGCACATGCGAGCTGGCCGGTCTTCTCGATTCGCTGCTCATGCAAGGCGTACCGTGCCCCGAAAAGGAGACAAGCATTTCTATGCAGTCGTTGGAGTCGATGAGCTGTCTCATTGCGTTGGTTCCCTTGCCGGCTTAGGCTGCTCCGACTCCGTGCTGATCCTTATGCTGTGGGGCCTGCAGGCGATCACCCTCCTATGCTTGCCTTGGGTGGACATAACACGGCTGTTTGTCACCTCATTGTTCAACCCGTTTTCATCTTTCCTGTCTCTGGATGCTGGACGAAGCGTTTTCCTCAAACGGGGTCGGGAGGATTCCGGCTAGACACGGTGCATCGAAGTGTGGCCGGGTTCCTTGGCATGTGTAGAACATGTGGAGACTGTTGACAGCGAAAGCACAGTTTGCTTTAGACCAGGGCTTTCAGGAGGCGGTGATCAGGTGCGAGGCAGTCGTCCCCATCCAGAGACTCCGAAATGTGAATCCAAGAAGCGCGAAAAACTGGGCTACAGTCCAGCGGAAAGCCTCACTCCTACATTCTTTCTGCACTTTTCGGGCTTCCCGCTCTCTTGCTCTACGCTGGACATGCATCCCTCGCAGCATGTGATAGTCCTCTGACTTAGTCAGTGCCAGGGAGCTTGGATCTGGAAGTTTGCCTCGTCCGGACTAGGAAGTGCCGTCGACGTTGCGGTCAAGCAGGGCTTGCGACACACTCACGAGGTACGCCTCGAGAGCCCCAGATTGATACTTTACTACAGTGGCATAGTAACGGAGTTGTCGCAAAGCCTGAGGCGCTTCTGGGCAGCGCCGGCTTTGCACCGCAGAGGCCTGACAGGAAGCGGCTGGCAGCCATGCCTGCCGCTGACTATCTCTGACCCGAAGCCAAAACCGATGCTCATTCGATCTAGAGTCGAGATCAGTGAAGCATGCAGCCAAGCTGTCATTGGTGTTGCTGCAGGCGCCTGTCGACTTGGCAAAGATTGCAGCTGAGCCGCAGAGCGAGTGTGCATGCAAAACACTATAGGGCCTCGAGGGTGCTGCACGAAGAGGGTTTCGTGGGCTGATGCTGCTGCGCTCACGTTGTTTTGCTGCAAAGTTTAGCAAATTTTTGCTGTCGGGGTATCCTGAAGTCGCTGTCACTCGTCGTGGGAAGAGACCTTGCTTGAGGTGTTGGTGCTGCAGTGTCTAGCATTGCGCCTCCTTCTCGCCTGACAGCTAGGCCACCACCCCGCACTCCATAGCTTACACAATGTACAGTGTTAACGTCATGCTGCCTGCTGAACAAGATGTGCGAAGCACACCTGTGCTCGTAAGGTCGCAGACCTTCACAATCTTCCGCATTTTCTGCGTCTGTACAAGACATGCACGTTTCAAGAATTAGCACCTTGGGATAGTTGGAGCAAGTGCGATTGCCCCTGCTTTAAGCGTTATTCACGCCACTGTGCAATACGTGTTTGAAGTGCGGACTGCTTCGGCTCTCCATCCGTTGTCTTTTCTAGCCTGCATGTGATTTGAAGACATGTGGCGCTTCATGTCTCGTCAGATGCCCGGCGTACCTTGCTTTTTCAATTGCCTGCACTTTGTGGGGTCCAAAGCTCAAGTCAGCAGACCTGACCTGTATTGGATTATCCACATTCGGCCTCGCCGTGCCACGTTGCTCAAAGCCGGGAGGTGCGCCGCAGCTCCACCAGGCAGGTCTTCGAAGGGGCGTCCTTTGGGGGAGCGACTGGAGCGTGGAAAGGCGACCATGGCGGGCGGATATTGCTGCATCGATTTTGACACTTTGCAGGCCAAGGCCTGGCCGCAAGCGGCGAGTAATGCTCGGAATGATGATGATGAAGATGATTTCGGTCACAACGCCTTTGACGATTCTGTTGCGTGGTAGATACAACGACAAACCCAGCACTTCGACCAACTTGTGCTATGTGGGACCCCAGTTTCATGCGGGGTTGAGAATGAAGGTTTCGATCTCTTGAAACTCGCTGTTGTTGAAACAAAGCTGCAGTTCCACCTTTTATTGGCGCACTTGGGAATGGAAGGTTGAGTGCTAGAAAAGTTTGACCAACCTCGGGTGATGTGTTGCTTCGTGTTTTTTTCGATGTGCGCAGACATGGCCGTAGATATGGTGCACGGACAACCATGTGCTTGAAGTGGCAGTGGCACAGAAAAACCTAAGCATTCCTACTTCCTGAGGCATTGTCGAACCGCAAGTGACCTTGCAGCGACGCTGCGAAGCCATGCGAAACCACGAAATTCAGGGAGTAGTCCTGGCATGTGGAACATCATGTCCAGGAGAAGGAGAAGGGCATCAGGTACAAGAGCGGCTTGGCCTCTGAAGCCAGATGCACCACTAGGATCCGATCCCCGCCGTTTGAATTCTTTGCATGGACGACAGCAGCATGCTCATCAAGCCCATCCCTGGACAAACGTACGAGCCATCCGAGCACTAGCATACTAAGATCTCCAAGGTTTCTCGGAGCAAGTGGTGAAGTCCGTCGAACAGGCTCGCTGAGCCGTGCCGTCGACCAGTAGAGTCTTTGCCAAAGGGAGTAGAGACCGAAGACTCGTTTTGTTTTTCCGCATGAGAACTCTTGAAGCTTCAATCTGCAAAGCATGTCTTGGTACCAGGCAAAGTCTGCGCAGTGTGTGTGTGTGTGTGTGTTCCTAGTAATGCGTAAGCATGCGTACTGAGGCCGCGAGCGGAACAAGCATGTCTGTGGCATCTCAGCCTTTGAAGCGAAGAGTTCAGTGTCGGTGCTCCGATGCCAGGAAGCTCTCAAGAAGAAGCATGCGTCGGAGTTCCTTGTCTGCATCCGTGCCATGGTAGGTCGCCAGCCCTGAATCTGATCCACAGAGATGAGGCTTCTCACCTAGACTCCTGTTGCATGGCTGACATCGACAGAGCGCACCTCACCGCATGGCCAGAGATCTTGCCCATCTTTGAATGGAAGAAGTTGGTCGGTTCTTGTTCCGTTCCGCACGTATCCTTGCCAATTCCTTGCCTGCTTCATGCCAGTATTATCAATACTCAAGGAGTCTTGCCGATCCAACCGGGGCGTGCTCAGAGGTGAACAATGCGCTACAGTAGTGCTTGCTGACTTTTCTCCTCGCCGGCAGTAGCACGCGTTTGCCCCGACACATTCCTGCCATCATGCTGCCATCATGCTGCCTCATCGTTGCGACGTCTTGCTTCACGATTGGAGGTTTGTTTCCCGCTTGAGGACACCTTGTACTCATGAAATGTTGTTTTTTCTGTGGTATGTCACCGGACGCAGAGCTCGTGATATCTCGGGATGTGGGTCACTGTCAGCACTCGATGTAGGCTTTCTGCTGGTGCACCTGTGCCTGGCTTGCGTGGTTCGTGGTCCTTGATGCCGTTGCCCCACGCCTTGAGATTAAGGCAGGAGCGGAGTCGCCTTCATTGGGAGCCTTGGCTGCAAGAGTAGCCGGGACACTCTGCCGTTCTCAGCACGGAGTGGTGGGTCAAAGTGGGAGACTCAAAGCCGCTCTGAGCCGGCAGCTCGGCCGGCAGCTGGCGTTCCCTCGTGCCTCCAAGGAGAAAGAGGAGCAGAGGGCCAAGGTCCGGTACACCATGAACTTACCTCAGTGCGAGGGCCGCATCCTCAGCGCAAGGTGGTCCCCTTGTGGCAAGTCCTGGCGCGGTTGCCATTTCAGCCGACTCAGGTGGTCTGTACTGGCAGCCAAACATCCACTACATCCCGGTCGCTCGGTCGCAATGGCTTTCGGAATGTGCCGTTGTGGGCAGCTGTTCTGCGCAAGCTTCTCAAAGCCTGTCCCACACAGCCGAAGGCACAAAACAAGCTTCGATAAAAAGAAGTGGGTGTATACTTTCATGTGCTTTCAGTGCCCCTTGCTGCTAGGCAAGCAGCAGATACCGAACCCTGAGGTTCAAGCAGGACGACTCGAGCAGAGAGAGTTGGAACAGTGACAGAGAAAATGCAACAGTGACAGAACATGTTGAAACAGCGTCATGAATTGGCCGCAGCATTTGACAAGGAGACATGGTGGTGTTTGGGCATGGTGGGAGGAGGTTTGGGGTTTGCCTTAACTCTTCAGGCTCAGGCCGCTTTAGTGACTCTTCAGGCTCAGGTTGCTTTAGTGACTCTTCAGGCTCAGGCCGCTTTAGTGACTCTTCAGGCTCAGGCCGCTTTAGTGACTCTTCAGGCTCAGGCCGCTTTAGTGACAGTGGTGTTCAAGCTCACATGATTCCCTCTAGTGGTTCATTGTTTCATTCATAGCGGGCATGGATGGCGGGCATGGCTGGCGTCTCTGGCCTCTCGGACGAGGAGCAGCTTTGCGAGGAAAGCTCTGCCCCTGCTCCGAAGCG